GGGGGGGGGGGGGGGGGGGCAAAGAGCTGCGGCTGAAAGAGGAAAGGTTCTTCCTCCAAGATTCCTTTGGGGAAAACCTCTTTTTTTTCCAGAGTCTGAGCCTCCTCAGGAGGGTCTCTGGCAGTTCTGGGGTCCAAGTCTCCCCCCACCTCCGCCGCACTCTGTGCATGGATCTAGATGGGAGCTGCCCCCCCCCCCCCATGAAAGACCTGCCTGCCCTCCAAGGCCCTTCCTAGGAGGCAGAGCCCAAGGCTTTCGGAGTCCTCCTGGGGCCGGTCTCCCAGTGGGACATTTTCCCAGCATTCTTTGCCTTCCCCTCAGCTGGGAAAGAAAAATATCCCAGGGAAAGTTGGAGGAAGGAGTTTCCTCCCCAACCCCCCTTTAAAGAAGAAACGGGCTGCTTGGAGCCTCTGCAGGAAGGGGGCATGATGCTGTTCACCTGTGCAAGCGGTGGCAGGGGGAGGCACTTTTATTTTATTTCTTTTTCTTCTTATGCCATAGTTTATACTCCTTCCATTCAGAGCGAGGCTAGCAGAGCTTTTCCTCCCAGGGAGGAATAAAGAGGAATGAATGAATGAAGCAATGAATGGATGAATAGAGAAAGGAAGGAAGAAGGAAGGAAGGGAGAGATTTCCCCCTCCCCCCCCCATTGATATCATCAATAGCCCTTCTTGAACCAAAAACCGACCTATATTTGCGGTGGGTCAGAAAACCCCACAGCGTTGGGGGTATAACCGGCCCTCCAGCAGCCCCTTTGCCAGGAAGGGAGCCAAAGACAGAAGCTTTGGAGAGGGGCGGGGAGGGCAGTGACCCCACGTGATTGGGGGAGGGGCATTTCCACCCAGGAATAGTGTGTGTGTGCACCTGCCGACTCCCCATTTCAGCCCCCTCAGAGACACCCCCCCAAAAGTCCCCTCCAGGTGGGATTTTCTGGGGGTTCAAAGGGGAGGAAGGAGGAGCCACTTGAAGCAGGTTTTTGTCATGAATCCCAAAGCACTTTCTTGTCCCAGATGGAGGCGGTGGTGAGGGGGTCAGCTGAGGAAGATGGGCTCTGTAGTCCTGGGGCAGGCAGTCCAAAGAGAATGCATTCCAATAGAAGAGAATCTCTGCAACTTGGGTTGAACTGTGGTGTCCTCGGAGCTCTCTTGACTTTAGTTCTTAGCTCCGAGACGTTGCATTACCCAGCTAGGTAACCTGTTCAGTGCCAAGGAGGGTGGGGTTTGCTGCCTGTTTAGATGCCCTGCCAGAGATTGTATGCTTTCCTCCTGGATGGTTCCTCCATGGGAGGATTGTTTTCTGCCTGCTTGTTTGTCTGCTGCTGTTCCCTCCTTATCTATTGTCCTTTGGAGGAGAGGGGAGTCTTTTTTGTTCACTTCCTGGGTTTTTTTTTAATGGTGTGTAAATATGATTTATCTCTCTGTGTCTATTGAAAACCAGAGACTTACTGTTTAGGACAAGGAACTTGAAATAAAAATTGGAACTTCGTTATTGCACAAGCTAACTGTAGCCAGAATTCTTAATATGCAAAACTGGAAATATACCTCCATCCCCAGGTGGATTCCCCTGAGATTTCAGCTGTGAATTAGCTTCCAAAACTTCCTCTCCCTCACTTTCATATCCGGGGTGAGTGGGTCAGCGATTCAAAGGGGGGCTCTTGGGGAAAGGGTAGGGTGTAGAAATGAGGACTGAGAAGATCAGGCAGATCGCAAGATTAAAGCAGAGCATTGGAGGATTCCTCTTGATCTCTTCAGCAAATGTTCTAACTGGCAAAACTCTTGGATTAATGGGGGCTATCTGGGTGAGCCCCCACCCCCAAGATGATCCTTAAAAGGTCTGATCCAGCTCAGAATACTTTGCTAACAATGTTTCTTTCTGTTGAGGGATTGTTTTTAATAGCCCTTAATTCTATAATCCTGAAAAACATTAGTTATTCGTAATTTAAAGCAGCGATCAAATCTGGTTGCCACCCAGGCAAAGGACATTTCAGGGGTTGTTGTTTTTTCCATAATAAGCCAATTTGCATCTGGGAACATTTAAAGATCTTTGTGGAATAGCTAAAAAAAGGCAGTGGCTTTACAAAGTGAAAATCGTGACTATTTGTTTGAAACAAGAAATGAAGATTATGGATGGGAAAAAAATACAGGTATTTCAGCAGGAAAATGGATGGAGCATTTTTAAATAAGTGGAAATTGAAGTTTCAATTGGCATTTTATTGAAAACATATACAACTCTTATTAGTAGGGAAACAAACAGACTTTCGGGTGGCATGAATCATTTTGATGGCCCAACCCAAAATTTAATTTTAGACAAAAATCTGATATTTTGGGGTTCCAATTTGATGAGATGGGACTTGCTGGAGAGAGATTTTAATTCACTTCTGGATCCACTAGTGAATCGGAAGATTTTTTTTTATTTTTTAAAGACCCACCCAGAGACACAACTTTCTCCTTCTCTCCATCCAGGAACTGACAGAGCCCTGGTGCCTGAAGTCTTAAACCTGGTACAAATTCTCGGCGGATGGCACCCCTATCCGCAGTTTTGGCTCAAGCAAGAGATCCTATACCATTTCAGGATCTCTTGATATTCCTATAGGATCCCTTTCAGCCAAGTGACTATCCAGTCTCTTCTTTAAACAGTCCAAAATAAATTGACCCCCTGCTCTTTGCGGCAGCCTCTCAAGTACTGAAATAGTGCTATCCTTCTTTTCTGTAGAACAGCCACATGCAAATCCTGAAACTGTTCATGTGTTTTAGTCTTCAGGCCATTAATAATCTTAGCTGCTCTTCTTTGCACTTTTGTGTCTTCTAAGTCCACTGCTCTGAGTAAATATCTGTCCACACTCCATGCATTTATACGGCTTCTCCCCTTGTGGATCATCCTATGGAAAATAAGATGACCACTTCGAGCAAAGGTCTCTCCACACACCATGCGTTTAAATGGCTTTTTCCCCATGTGAATCTTTCTGTGGAAATTGTCTACTGCTCAGAGCAAAGGTCTTTCCTCACTCCAAGCATTTAAATGGTTTCTCTCCTGTGTGGAGCTTTCTGTGTCTTCCAAGTCCACTGCTCTGAGTAAACATCTTTCCACACTCAATGCATTTATATGGCTTCTCTCCTGTGTGGATCCTTTCATGGGATATAAACTGACCTTTCTGAGCAAAGGTCTTTCCACACACCATGCATTTAAATGGTTTCTCTCCTGTGTGGATCCTTTTATGAATAGTAAGTGTACTGTTCAGAGCAAAAGTCTTTCCACATTCCATGCATTTAAATGGTTTCTTTCCTGTGTGGAGCTTTTTGTGGATAGTAAGTGTACTGCTTTGAGCAAAGGTCTTTCCACACTCCATGCATTTATACGGCTTCTCCCCTGTGTGGATCCTTTCATGGGAAGTAAATGTACTGCTATGAGCAAAGGCCTTTCCACATTCCATGCATTTGAATGGTTTCTCTCCTGAGTGGATCTTTTTGTGGCTCATAAGTCCATTGCCATGAGTAAATGTCTTTCCACACTCCATGCATTTATACGGCTTCTCCCCTGTGTGGATCATCTTATGAGAAATAAGATTACTTCTTTGAGCAAAGGTCTTTCCACACTCCATGCATTTAAATGGCTTTTCCCCAGTGTGTATCTTTTTGTGCATAGTAAGTCTACTGCTCAGAGCAAAGGTCTTTCCACAATCCATGCATTTATATGGTTTCTCTCCTGTGTGGAGCTTTTTGTGGCTTCTAAGTACACTACCACGAGTAAATGTCTTTCCACACTCAATGCATTTAAACGGCTTCTCCCCTGTGTGGGTCATCTTATGGGAAATAAAATGACCTTTTTGAGCAAAGGTCTTTCCACACTCTATGCATTTATATGCTTTCTCTCCTGTGTGGAGGTTTTTGTGGGTTCTAAGTGCACTGCCATGAGTAAACATCTTTCCACACACCATGCATTTATATGGCTTTTCCCCTGTGTGGATCATCTTATGGGAAATAAGAGTAGCTCTTCGAGCAAAGGTCTTTCCACACTCTATACATTTATATGGTTTCTCTCCTGTGTGGAGCTTTTTGTGGCTTCTAAGTCCACTGCCATGAGTAAACGTCTTTCCACACTCCATGCATTTAAATGGCTTCTCCCCTGTGTGAAGCATTTTGTGGCTTCTAAGGCCACTGCGCCGAGCAAAGGTCTTTCCACATTCCATACATTTATACGGCTTCTCCTTTGTGTGGATAATTTTATGGGAAATAAGAGTAGCTCTTTGAGCAAAGGTCTTTCCACACACTATGCATTTATATGGCTTCTCCCCTGTGTGGATCCTTTCATGGGAAGTAAGTGTACTGCTAGAAGCAAAGGTCTTTCCACATTCCATGCATTTATATGGTTTTTCTCCTGTGTGGATCCTTCCATGGGAAATAAGATTACCACTACGAGCAAACATCTTTCCACACTCTATGCATTTATATGGCTTTTCTTTTGTGTAAATCACTTTTTGAGATGTAAGGAATTTATTTCCCAGAGAAAGAATGAATGTCCCATTGTTATTTTGACCACTGTGTCTTCTTATAGCACCTTCTCCTTTTTGGGGGGTTAAATAGTATTCATTTACTTGTACTTTAGCTTTGATTAGCTTTACACTTTTCCCAGTATATTTTTTCTTTATTTTCTCTTGTTGGGCAAGAAATTTTTGCATCAGAGTATCACTGGAAGATGAGCTTTCCTGATTCCTATTCTTTGACTGGTTTCTCTTATGGCTTTCGAATTCCATTCGAATTCCAAACTTCTCCGTTACATCTTTAGCATTGATTACTTGGAACAGTTCACAGGAATCTTGATTCTCCTGCGCATCATTACCTTTAATGCAAAAGGGAAATGAAAATGATAACAAGGTTAGAGAAAAAGATCAAAGTGTAGAAAGTCATTCCTTTGAATTTCTCCGAAAACACCATTAGGTTGTATGTTTGCATGCCTGCAGTGGTGTGATGTAGACATGATGATTTGTAAATTCATGAGTCATGAAAGCTTTGAAAATGTCTAGAAAACAACTCTTTCTTTACACACACACACAAATATATATATATACACACTCTCACACCACCACCCAGCACAGATCAATTCCGTAGCCGAGACACTCATCTCCAGAACAAAATGCTTAGCCGATGAACAACACCTAAAAACCGAACTATACACTCTCACTAATGTACTAACAGTCAATGGATTCTAAAGAAAGATTACCCACCTAATCCAAAAAGAAACCCCAACCAAAATCCAAGACAGAGAACAAGAGAACGGCAAAGCCCTCCCCCCATATATAAAAGGCACTACAGACAAAATCAGCAAGATCCTCCAAAAACACAACGTTAAAACAGCATTCTGCACAAACAGAAAAATATCCACCATCCTAAGAAACCCTAAAGACAAAATCAAGTTAGAAAACCAAGGAGTATATGAAATCCCTTGCACCGCCTGCCCCACCACATACATTGGACAAACTAACAGAAGAATAAGTGCACGCATTGAAGAACACAAGATCTCAATCAAAAAAGAACCGACCTCTTCCCTGGTCCAACACCTCAAAGCCACAGGACATGAGATTGACTTTAAAAATACCAGAACTATCGCCAAAACCGAACACTTCAACAACAGAATAATCAGAGAAGCCAGAGATAGAAAAACGCCCACACAGCATGAATAAGCAAGATGACACTTCCCGCCTACCAGCCATTTGGAAACCTGCCCTCATGAACAGACGAGTACCTAACATGAAGAATGACCCCAGACCCACACCCAGGAGGGCCAGACAAGATGCTACCACCACACTTCCACATAGAAAGCAGACTCACACCCACACAGATGATGAGACACGACCACGGACCAGAAGCCGCACTGCAGCTGCATCACAATCTGCTTCAAACCCCTCCGACCCATACATCAAGCGAACTGACGCCCACCATGAAGATGCGGCACGACCACGAACGCGAAGCCAAACAGCAGGATCACAGCTCACCAGCTCAAATCCCCCAGCAACCAAGACTAACCTGAGCACAACCAAGCCCCCACCTGAACAGAACACACCCCCAGCCAATCAGAACACAGCCAACCCCCCACCCAATCAGAACACAGCCAGACCCCCAACCAATGAGAACACACCCCCAGCCAATCAGAACACAGCCAAGACCCACCCAATCAAGTCACACCCCCACTAGCAGTTAAAAGGAAGAAGCAGCTGCAAGCTCACATTACTCTGAGAAGCACAAAGCCGAAGACACAAGCCTGAAGATGATGAGACTTCATTGAAACGTCGCCTAGATACTTCCAATTTTACACAGGAGAAAACCCGAATAACATATACATACATACATACATACATACATACATACATACATACATACATACATATGCAAATCTCATTCAAAGTCAGTTTCAAATTAAGGAATAATCAGGGGAAACATCCAAGGAGGAATTATGAGAAAAGATTTATTGGGGTGGGTTAATTTCAGCAGAGACCTGTGAGAAATGAAACAATTTTGAAACAAGCTCCTTCTTTTGCGGTGTACCTTGGAGCAGCTGCTCCACGGCATGTGTCTGTTGGGTGGGATCCCCACTTGGTCTGTTCCTCGATCACAGCGATGAGATTTTGGAGATAAATCCCTTGCTTGAAGCCTCCCATTGCCCTGTAAACGCTCTTCACGCTCAGACTGGAAAGGTTGGGATGCTTCAAGAATGGCTACTTCACTGCTCCAAAGTCTCATCGGCTTGCAAGGGCCCTTTGGCCGGATCTGGTACAGTTCACAGAGAACAGAGGCCTAAAATACTTTAGTAAGAGATCACACGAGACCAGTAGTGCAAGATCTCAGGCCACTAATCTCGCATGATCTCACACCACAGTTCTTTAGGCCTGTGTTCAGGGGTGGGATGCTACCGGTTCTGCCCAGCTCTATAGAGCCAGTAGCTCTGAAGAGCAGCAGACACCGAACTGGTTCTGTGTTTGCTGCTGTTTGGCCTACCTGCCTGCCCAGGGTCTTACCTGTTGTTTATTTCCTGCTTTTTCAACCTTTGCGCGACACAGCTGAGGTTGAAAAAGCAGGAAAAAAGTGGCTTTTCAAACGCTGTGCACCAGCTTTTCAGTTGTCTGGGCGGCAGAGTTTAAGATTTTTTTTACATGTGCACACATGCGAGTGCAAAATGTAGTCACTGAACCGGTAATAACACCAGTTGAATCCCACCCCTGCCTGTGTTCTTTTAAGAACTGAGGACTGCACGAGATCCAGGGCAAAAGTCTTTGAAAATGAAGAGGGGTTTCCTGTTTGAAAAGCATTTTGCCCTGCATCTTGTGTAGGCCTTGGTTAGCAGGGAATAGAGGCCTAAAGCACTATAGTATGAGATCACATGAGATCAACAATGGTAGATTTCCCACTATTGATCTCACGTATCTCTCACTACATTAGGCCTCTTTTTTCTGCAAATGCATCAAAGTAGGCAAAGAAACCAATGGTTCACATCGTCACAAGGTACCGTATTTTTCCGACTTTAAGACATCCTGGACCATTAGATGCACCTAGGTTTAGAGAAGGAACACAAGGAAAAAAAATAGTTTTGGCCTCCATGCATCCCATTTTTACCCTCCCCGGCATCCAGATGCACTGTGCAAGACAAAAACGGGCTCATTTTTGGCTTTACAAACCTTCTGCACATCTTGTTTTTTCCCTCCCCAGCATCCAGAAGCACTCTGCATGCCAAAAACAGGCCCGTTTCTGGCCCTCCCAAACCCCGTGCGTCCCATTTTCAGCTCCCCCAATGCTGTGGAGGGTAAAAACGGGAGCCGCGAAAGCCTGCGGAGGCCAAAAGCAGACCCATTTTTGGCCTGCAGAGTGCTTCTGGATGCCAGGTAGGGTGAAAATGGGATGCACGGAGGGTTTGGGAAGCAAAAAACAGGCCCGTATTCGCTCTATAAGACACATAGACATTTCCACTTTTGAGGTGGAGGGAGGTGGACTGCGTTTTATACTCTGAAAAATATGCTAAGTCCCAGCTGGGTGGGGAAATAGGTAGGGCAAATGTTGCAGAGCCTCTACTGTCATTTGTAAGTATGAATGATGGCCCTGGTGCTGACTTGGTCTCAAGTACTTTGGGGAGGACGGCTGGTGGTAACTTGGAATGGTTGCTAGCGAATTGTTGTAACTCGGAAATTACCTGTACCCTAGGATACTCTGAATCACACTGCTTGAGGCCTTTGTTCTTGAATTGGATTGGGAGAATGAATCAGTTTTGGAAGCTATGTTAGCACTTGAAGCTTCCATGCTGCCACATTCTTGAGCATGGGAAGATGGGAAGGGGGAATTTCATTTGTATGGGGTTAGACATAATAGCATTCTTGATTAGAGTGAAGGTCATGTTTTTCCTGCACCTGGTTGAGGAGGAGTAGAGGGGACATCTCAAGTTGGGACGGATGGTGATTGGGGAATGTGATGGAATGATGGGGGCAAGGGATGGATTTGTAATTTTTTACTTATTGGAAGGAAACCCGGAACTTTCAGATTCAGGATTTGGCAGATCTGCCAGTATACTACTCTAATAAAAGGAACTTCGAGAACATGTCTGTCTCAGAGTTTTTTTTATTGGAGTTGAATTTTTCTGAAATGCTGACAGAATGCTCTTCCATGGACTGAGTGTGAAAGTTCTGTTCTCACACAATTTAGAGGTTTCAGAGAACAAATGACAACATATTCAAGTCACATAACCTCCAGAAGTCACGTAAAAGCACACCTCATTCGTTTCATCCTCCATAGATAAGTTCAAATAGAAATGGAAAAATACACATCAGAAATGGCACAAAAAGTATCTATGCAAAGAGACATTGACTCTTTCCTTCTTTGGATCACCATAAGGGCAGATCCTTTCCTTCTCCCACTCAGGAGACAATATCTGACAGCATTTTTTAAATAAAAAAAACTAACCATAATCTCTCTTCTTGAACCCTCTGATTGGGGACTAGAAAACTCTTACCCAGAGAGACCACGTTCCTATGGTTTTCAAGCATGACTTCCGAATGCAGCGCTTTCTGGTCAGGATCCAGCTGAGACCATTCCTCCTCAGAGAAATACACAGCCACCTCCTCGAAGGACACAAGACCCTCCTGGACATGGAAAAAAGAACAGAACGGGAGGATTCGCAAGATCTGTTCATCTTCATCATTGATTTAGACTAGAAGATAGAAAAGGGGAACTCATCAAATTTGCAGAGAAGGCCAGATTGACAGGAATACTAACGCTCCAGAAGATAACCTAGAGATATAGAAGGATAGACAGATTGGGTCCCATCTAACAAAAGGAAATCAACAGTGAGAAATGTAAGATTCTAAATTTAGAAAAAAAAAACCAAATGGACGGGCATAGTGATACCTGGCTCAACAGCAGTAAATGCAACAGGGATCTTGGAGTCCTAGGAGACAACCACTTAAATGTGAGTCAGCACTATGCTACAGTTGCCCCCCCACCCCCAACAGAATCTCCTAATCAAGACACAAATCAGAGGATTGGAAATTAGTTTGTAGCCCAAAGTAACGGGATTACATACTCAACATGGCCACTCCCTTTGGATTTAATAGTCTGCTTTATTTTTTAATACAATTTTTTTATTTTTGAACTACAAGTTATAAATAAGGCTCTTTAAAAATGCTAGAGTAGCAATGTATTTATTGTTTTCATTAGCCTTGCACAATTACGAGTCAATCAATTACCAAAAAGGGGTCTCTAGGCAGTTCCTACCACTGTGATACATTTATTCCTATTTCTTGAAGGGCTTCTAAAAAATTGCTTCTTGTAAACTACAAATTGGAGGAGTACATAGTAGAACAAGATAAGCAGAAGAAGCTATGCTGGCCAACAGCAATTTGAACCTGTTATTCTGCCCTCCATGTTGTGGAAGAACACAAAAATAATCCAGGCCCAACAAGAGGGGGGGAAATAGAAGGAGTGAGCCCTCTGCACACCTGCTTCACTTCCTGAAGGGAGAATACAAATCTAATCTCTTTTCCCTTTCTTACTTGATTTGGAGCTTCAACTGCTGTTTGATCTCCGTCATAAAAACCAGAAAGCTTCATTCTTTGTTTCTCTGTAAGGAATAAATAATTTCAAAATGTATAATTAACAAAATAGGAGGTGTTCTATAGAAGGGAAGAGAGAGCGAAGGTAAGGCAGATGGGGAATTGGAGGATCTTCCATTACCTCCTGAGGTGTCCTGACTTTTGTCTTTCCAAGGGTTCCTCCTGAAAAATAGCTCCTGAGGGGGATTTGATGGGTTCTTCTTTCCCTCAGGATCTCTGATCTCCACAGTGCAGCACTTCAAATAGGAGGAAGGAAGAAGCAGAATTAATGAACATCACATGACACAAAGCGGATTCTTATATTCGCAGCACAACTTCAAAAGCCACCAATATCCATCCATGTGGCTGAGTGAGAAGACAATGGACCAATGTCCTACCAGAACTGGAGAATTGCCACGTATTATGAACGTGGGAGAAGTTTGGGAAGGAGGGGTGAAGCATTCAAGCACTCTATTTATTCCCTTCTGAGCTCCCTAAAGTCTCCCACCTGCCACTGGAGCTGCTCCTTCTGCTCCTCTGCCTGGCTCAGGAGGAAGCCTTCCGCCAGGGCCACCGCCTGGGAGCTGCTCTCTGCTCCACACTCCCGCAACCAGCCCTCCATGTCTGGGGGCAGGAGAGCCAGGAGACGCTCCAGAACCACCAGGTCAAGCATTTGAGCTTTGCTGTGTTTTCCTGGGTTCAGCCATCGCCTGCACAAGTCATGGAGTTGGCTGCAAAGTCCTCGGGGACCATCAGCCTCATTCCAGCCTCGGATCGAGGTCCAGGGCAGAACTTCTGAAGGGAGGATGGTTCCACCCTGCAGGACCTTCTGCCCAGTTCTGGTCCAGCTCTCCCCACAGCTCCCAGGCTGAAGAGCCACAGGGGCTTTTCCGCTCCCCTCCTTGGCCAAAGGGGGTGTCTCCATCCTTCCTCTCTCTGGCAGAGCAGCTCCAAAGGGCTGCAGGGACTCTTGGGGGTCTCCAGGGGCCTCTTCCTTCATGGAACCATTTCTGGGGTCGCAGGACGCATCCCCGATGGTCCTTCCGCTCTTTTCCTTCCTTCCTTCCTTTCCCCACAAAGGAAATCCTGGCTTGCAAAGGCTGCTGAGGGCTCCGAATCTGAGAAGGAGAGAAAAAATGATGCCCAGCATCAGAAAGGGGAATTCAGCCCCTGGAACCCCTTCCCCCAACCCGCTTGCAGCCCCAAGCGGCTCCTCCCAGCACAGGGCCCAGGGCCCCCAGAACAGGGTCGGGAAGGAGGGCGCTGGAGAAGCCACCCCCACTGGAGACAAGATTGGACCCTGGGGAGCCCGGTGCGAAATCTGCCTCCTCCTCGCCGGACTTCTCTCCTGCTAGGTCTCTGCCAGGCCAGCCCTCCCCTACCCCAATTCGCATGTGGAGGGCCACTGGGGAGCATGGGACCCGGGAATATTCCACACAAACCCCGCCTCACCCAGGACACGTCTGGATGCCTCCCGCCACTCTCCCACACCCTCTCCGCCTGCTCCACCCCAGTGGTTGAGGAGAGCGAGTGCAGCGTCCTAGAGAGGCAAGGCTCATTGATATCACTTCCTTTGCCGCCTCCTTCTCTGGGAAGGCCACCGAGACGTTCTTTGGAATTCCCTTCCCTTGGGGGAGGGCGCCCCCTGGTGGATTTGGGGCAAAGGGCCAGGAGGCTAGAAAGGGCGGGAAAGAGGAGCGCATGGAGTGGGGGGAAGAGAGAGGGTGGGGAAGATGCGCTTGGGAGTAGCGGGAAAGGCCACTCTCCATGGACTCAAGGACGGTTATTTCTCCGCCTTCCTCTCCTTCCTGCCCAGGAACCGTCGGTGGAGACGGAGGGAAAAAGCCTCGGGTGTGGGGGGAGCGAATACCTCCCTCAGGAACCGCCACCCTGAGGGGTTCGCAGAGATCGGAGGAGGCCTCGAAAGGCGCCGAATCGCCTCAGAAACGGCCGGGCCGTGGGAAGACGAGGACCGGGAGCCTCGCTTGGACGCCCAGCTCGGGTCTGGCGGGGGTGGCGACCTGCGGGGGAGGCGGGCAGGGAGGCCCCGAGGGGGGAAAGGACGGTCCCTCCTTCCTCCTCCGCCTCCCTCCGCGGAGCCGCCCTTCTCGGGCTCGGCCTCCCAGCGGAAGGGTAGGGACCCCCGGCCTCTTCTGAGGAGCCCCCGGAAAGGCTCCGCGGGGGAAGGAGGGAGGGAGGCCGGGAAGCTCCGTCGCGGAGGAGGGGAAGCGGGCGAGGAAGCCGAGGGAGGAGGAGGAGGAGATTCCGGGCCTTTCGCCTCAGGGAGACTCGCAGGACGGAGCCGCCGCTTCTCTGCGCCCGCCGCCCGAGGCAGGAGGAGCCCTTGGGCCGCCCCGGAGAAACGGGGACTCCGACCGCCTTTCTGGAAGCCCCTCCAGGGCGGATCCCCTCGGAGGTTTCGCCCCCTGTCCCTTTTTGACCCCGGGGGGACCGATCGGGGCCCCTTCCCCGAAACCGGCCGGCAGGAGGAAGGAAGGGAGGGAGGGGGTTGGAGATACTATATATACAATATACACTTAAATATATTAAGAGATTTCAATATATTTGGTTTTCAGTCATAGCCTGTAAACTGCCCAGAGTCTCCTTGTAGGGGAGATATCATAGGAGAGAACAACGGAAGGGACCTTGGAGGTCATCTTGTCCCACCCCCTGCTCAAGCAGGAATCCATTCAAACCGTTTCACACAAGATGGGCAGCATAAAAAATGTAATATACATAAAAACAGATATGCCTCCGTCTCTCTCTCTCTCTTCCTTGGGTGAGGCGATATGAGGAGGGGGAATAATAAGGACATCCAAACTGATCCTTTTGGGGCCTCCCAGCCCCTCCCTCCCGTCAACCTCCACCTTCTCTGGTTATCCCCAAAATTTCCCCTACCTCTAATCTTCAGCACTTCTAGGATTTGGGGCTGCCTCTTCTCCCCCCCAAAGAACAGCCCCCCAAAGACCATCTCACAGGGTCTCCAGCCGATTCACGAGAGGGATAGATCTGGGGGGGGGGGCAACTGAGGGAAACTCAGCTCCCCCCCATTCAATAGTTCCCCCCTCCCGGGCTCCCCCTCACCCCTAGGTCCTGATCGGGCAGTGGGGGATTATGGGAAGGGGGGCTTGGTCTCATCCCCAAAATCAGAGTCCCCCCCCCCAAGGAACCGAGGCTAAAATCCTGTCTGACTTTCACTGCCTGGGGGGCGGGGGAAACGGAAGTTTCTGAAGCAGGAAAAATTCTATTTTCTACTTTTGGTGGGCGTTTCTGGATTCAGCTTTGAACATGCCTCACTCCTTTTGCTTTCCGCCTCCTTCCTCTTTCCAGGCAACCGACTTCGGGGGCTCCGGATCCGGGTCTAATGCGGGGTCCGGGAGGTCCCACGCCCACCCAGTCACCGGCAGGGGAGGACGATGGGGGTCCGACTGCATCTCATCTCAGTTCAGCAACCTTCCCAAGGCCCGCTCCCCTCCACGGTCACAAGGAAGGGAAGACAGCTGTCCGTCTTCTCGGCGAAATGAGGGGAGGGAGCGGAGACCACGCGGAGATCGAGTCTTGAGGCTCCCGCCCCTTTTGCCCTCGACCCCTTTCCCCATTACAGGGGGGGGGTCTCTCAGCCCTCTTTTCCCCCAGGAGCCTTGACGTCCCCTCCCAACCCTTCTCCCCCAGAATAGCCCTCTCCTTACCGGGGGTCTCCTTCGCTTCCGGGGATCTGGGTTAGACCCCCACCAGCAGCCCAGCAGAGCCCATGGATGCCGCCCCACAAGTGCCCCCAAAGAGAGGGGAGGAAGACGCGGAGGGTCCCGGCCCCAGAGGCGGAATCGTGGTGCTGGTGGGTGTCTGGGTGGTGGTGGGCGTTTTCCTCGGATTTCGGAAGGACCAATGGGAATCCTCACTTCTGCAGCGTCATCGGTCTCCGGGCAGAGTCTCCCTTGAGTTCATCTACAAGAGAAGATCGTTCCAAGCACAGAGAGAGAAGCGGAGAAATGGGGGATCTTTTCAATCTTGGGGGACTGCGGCTCAACGGGAGGTTCATGCCAGCCCTGGAGGGAAGTGTGGACTTCCTTTTGCTCTCCCCTCAATCCGGCATGGAGTGGCTCTGCGGTGGATGAGAGAAGGGGAAGCGCAGCCCCACAGCCCGCGAGGACTTGGGGGGTTGATTGTGGAGTCCTCAGACGCCTTTTCTCTCTCTCTCTCTCTCTCTCACACACACACACACACTCACACACACGGTGGGAGAGTCCCCCCCAATCACATGGGGTCACTGTCCTCCCCGCCCCCGCCCCCCGAATCTTCTGCCTTTGGCTTCCTTCCTGGCAAAGGGGCTGCCGGAGGGCCGGTTTCACCCACAGCGCTGTGGGGTTTTCTGACCCACCGCAAATAGTAGGTCGGTTTTTGGTTCAAGAAGGGCGGTTGTTGATCTGAACTGGGGGAGGGGTTCTCCCTCCCTCCCTGACAACCTATTCTCCCAAAGTTCCAGAAGGCAGGAGGAGAAAGAAGGCCAGGAAACTGACCAAGGAGAGATTCATTTTCTGACCATAAGAGTTTGGGGACCTGAATTGACATCCTAGCTCACCCCTCCCTGCCCACAGAGGAAAGTCTACTTGAGAATCGTGAAGAGAGCAAAGAAAGGGGAGGGTCCCCGCAGGGCCTGCCCTGACCTCCCGCCCTTTTGCTTGCAGCCCCCAAAGACTGAAGGGTTGCCCCTCAGACTTTCACTCCTTCGGGTGAAGTCACAAGGGACTCTGCCCAGAGACTGTTGACGCTGCAGCAGCGAGAATTCCCATTGGTGCGTCAGTTCGTTCTGGCCCCGCCCAGATCAAAAGTCCTCCACACATTCCTCCTTTTACACACACACACACACACGTTCATTAAATGTGAAGATTGTGCAATAGGAAGAGCTGCCGCACTAGATGATAAGGGGGGAGGGGCAGCCCCGCAGCCAATGAGGAGAAGTTGGGGCTCACCCTCAGACACCCCTTCATCCAAAGGGAAGCCCCGGAAAACCCTCAGCTAAACCAGGGAGAGCCTCCACTTCCCTTCAGAGGAGAAAAAGGCTATTCTCATCCTTGAAAGGTGCGTCAGGGACAGCCTGAGGCAAATCTCAAAACAGTCCAGAGAAGAAAAAGGCGGGAAAAAGGGAAACGCCCCCTTTCCACCCTCAGCAACCAATCAGACCACAGATCCCCTCAGGCGGGAGCCCGCCCCTCACTCGGCCACAACAGGGAGTTTGGGGCTTTTGTGCGCTTTCCTTCTCCAGCCATTAAATGGGATATTTTCACATTTAAAGCGTTCAGAAGAAAAAGACCCAAAATGACTTTGCTTTTGTCCATTAGATTCAATTATCAGGCTGAAATGGTTTTTTTTAAAAATCTTGCACTGTCTTTCCCCCCCTTTTTTTCTCTTGTACTTCAGACTTTCTTTTCCACTCTTTCCACTCACCCTTAATTTCCTATTTCTATTTTTCTTTGTGTTTTGTATAATAAACAAATAAATTAAGATCTCGAGACTCTAGAAAAAGTGCAGAGAAGAGGAACAAAGATGGAGGCTAAAAGACATTTTTAAAAAACGGTTGCTGAAAGGAAAAGAAAGATAAGGGGAGATATCGTGGCATCTTCCAATATCTCACATATCCACAAAGAAGACTTCTCTCTTCTCTCCTCTAAATAAATATAGAAGGGGACCTAATGAAAGAAGCGGAGGTGGAGTTGCACTTTATCGGGGAGAAATAATCAAACCGCTCTAGAAATGGCACAGAAGAAAGACGAAATCCTCCTTCGAGGCATTTGGGTTCATATAAAAGGGGGTAAGAAGCACTGACAGGGAGCCATGCAAAGGGGCCTTTCCTCCTACTCCCAAGCCCATCATCCCCTCCCTCTCCCCCCTCCCATGCGCTCCTCTTTCCCGCCCTTTCTACCATCCTGGCCCTTTGTCCTAAATTCACTAGGGGGCGCACTCCGGCCAAGTGAAGGGAACTCCAGGCGCTTCTCCATTGGACCACTGGAGGGCGAACGTCACGGCTGCCTCCCCAGAGGCGGCTGCAAAGGAAGCGACATCACTGAGCCTTGCCTCTCTAGGACGCCGCACTCGCTCTCCTCAACCCCTAGGGCGGTACAGTGGGCGGAGA